TTCTGCATTTCTCGATGGGTCTGTCGGCACACCAATGAAACAAAGCGGTCGACTCGTAATAATAATAATAAATTGTTGATTAGGCCGACAGAGCCGACAGATGTGTGGTATTGGCAGACAGAGAGTGCAAAGACGCCGATTCTTGTGATGCATCCAATATAATGTCTGTCATGTCTATCAAGAATTACTGCAAACAAATACAGGTTAAGACCACTTCTCATGTATGCCATTATGTATACAATGGGTATTACCACACAATTTAAGCCATATTTTTGTCATTATTTTTAGATTTAATTTAATAATAAAGAAGTATTTACTTTCAGATTATCGTACAATTAATGCGATCACAAAATAAATATTATTTAAACCAAATTCCCAATTGGAGTCCATGTAATGGTATCGCAAACTTTGCTAAACATAAAATTAACAATTAAATTACATTAAAAGGGCATTCATTTTATTGTTTTTAGGCGACAAAGTATTTTGCGTGAGTGAAATAAGTCATAGAGTGCTCGGTCAGTCGTGTTTAGCACCGGGAATGAGCGCACTATTAGCTAATTTAATTAGTTTAAAAACTTACAAACAGGTAAACTAAACTAGTTTTTAATTTAATTTATTTGTTACAATTATTATTAACTTTATTAAACACACCATTTCACTGATGATGTGGTTTTACTGTTACTTTTCTGTTATTAAATTAACTGATTATTTATTCATTAACTATTGTTTTACTCTTATATTCTGTGTATTGAATTTAGTGTAAATATAACACTGAAGTGAATAAAGACTATTTGAAGGCAACAAAAATGCAAATATTTAGCCAAACTCTTAGCCCGGCTTTCGATGAAATGACATTTTCGCATATATTTGAATTGTGTTTCACTAAATTTAAAGCAATATTGTTTGCCATTGAATGCAATGACGACATTATAATAAATCCGAAACCTGATTATCTGATCCGCGAAAACACAAAGGCTTTCTTTATAGCAGAGGATAAGGATTTAGTCAAATGGTCTGCTATTCTAATAAACAGTAATTTATTTGAATAAAAATAATTGAATTACAATCTATTTTGTGATAAACAGCGCTCTTCTATACTGTTTTAGTTGTCATAACGATATAACAGACACTAAACTAATCAAGAAATGCCAGTGTCTTAAGGGTTTGTGATTTGTTACTTAAGTTTTCAATTGAGTTAATGTTAAACAAAGTTTTAAAATATCTTTTAGTTGAGGACAAAGTAAAGAGACGATACGTTCAGGAATCGGGTTAGCGTTGAATTGAGTTGTATTTCTAATTCAATGAATTATTAAATATTTGTTTTTGTCGTTAAATTGTAAATATTCTGTAGGTTTCGATACCATTGATAACGCAGAGGAAAGTGAGTGAATAATTCATTGTTTTTCCTGACATTTAATTAAAAATACTTGAGATATGAATTCTTTGTTCATTTATTTTATTTTTCAGTCAATTTACTTAATATATCGTCAGTTAGTATTGGAAAAACTCACGGAATTGGAGATAATTTGAAGACCTGTTCGCCAAACAGAGCGAAAACTAAAGACAAAACTCGATCTAAAAAAGATAAGAAGTAATAAGTGTTACAATAGATTAAATTTCGTAAAACATAGTTTTGTAATTCTGTAAAGAACTTGTATTGAGCAGTTTATCATAACAAATATCACGAACAATTTTCTTCTCGCCGAGAGTTAAAGCTTTTAAATGTATTGAAAATTTTGATTTATTGTTCATTTATTTCTCTGTTTTTATGTCAAAGAAAGGGAACAAAGTCTCGGAGTTCGAGCACTAGTAGTACTTCTTCTACATGCGATGGTTTGAGACAAACAGATGAAAGACGTTCACCGATAAGATGTGATTACGATTCGACCGCTTTGTTTCATTGGTGTGCCGACAGACCCATCGAGAAATGCATACTTCAAAAGTACAGTCAGTTATTGAGACAACTGTGCGATCACGTGATCATTGGTCTGTGTCCTGAGAAGGACTCACCGCCTGTTGAGCTCAAGAATTTGGTGCTCACTCTCAGGTGTTTTACAAAGATATCGATGACTTTGACAGAAATGTTAAAACATTATTTTACAGGACATCTAATATTAACGTTAAAAGCTTGAAACCAATATTAATAGTGAGCGACATTGAGGCCATCGCTCGGCAATGGATTTCGTTGAAGAATATTCCGGATATATATCTATTCAATGGATCGCTTTTATCGCGCGATGACTTGTTATCAATAAATCTTATGGTTTGTAATAATTGTGTTATTCTGTCGTCAAACGCATCCAAAGACAGTGAGCGGGCATTGAGTGATAGGTTTGCAATTCTGGCCACTCTTAACGTCAATGGCTTTACATTTAAAGACTCGGTCTTAACGCAAATACCATTGACGTCAACCCATTCGCCAACAACGACAACTAGGTTTGCAATTCTGGCCACTCTTAACGTCAATGGCTTTACATTTGAGGACTCGGTCTTAACGCAAATACCATTGACGTCAACTCATTCGCCAACAACGACAACAAGCATTGAGACAATGGTATTGAATCAATACAATCAATATTATTGATCGTAAAATAAAGCAAAATATTTACAAATCTAATGGCATTTAATTTGTTTATCAAATGATAGCCTCGAGTAGAGCTCCGACAAAAAGGGTATTTTTGTGAACGAAATACTATTTTTACTTAAAAACTAATGTATTATCTGTTTGTTTATGGGAACGAAGTTCTTCGTATGGCGTGAATGTGTCTGTCATTACTCAACTCCACACCGAAGACTATCTGCAGAATCTATGCAATGGTAGTGTTGTTGAGAGAGATAATGATCGGAATGATTGGCAATCGATTGCCAGCGGAAGTGTTTTCATCAATACTTTCGTCGACTCATTAATCCCATTGTTTTATACGAATCCCGAAATCGTAAGACTTATCGAGTCATTAATTTCTGGCTTTTTGAGCCCTAAATTAGACTCAATTTTATGCCAAACATCAAGCCTTAAGTGGCAAACACTGAGCGCTCAGGCGTTACGACACAGGGATAGGAGTCGTGTCACTCACATCTCACTAACCGGTCCTCTCATCGATTGGAGGGAATCCACATTTGGACAACTGGTCCGACACGTCTTCACCGCTTACAGTATACTATGTTTCGGTGTCTATAGACTCGACCATCACTACAATACTCGTTATGTCTTAACAAATCCGTCGCAAGACTTTCCTTTAGAACCAAACGATTTGGTATTTTGTTGTTTCTCTTCATATCTTTTATGGCTTTAATTAATTTTGAATTTGTTTTTTGTCATTAGATTTTTGCTTTAATACAATGCGATACAAAGATTTGAATGGTTTTACAACAAACAAAAACAAACTTCTCAATAAAAGTTTTTTATAATTAATACTTAAAAATTGTTTTGTGTTTATTTGATCACAATTTATTATCAATACATTTTAATTAAAAAGCATAACTTTAAATAGACTACATTTAATGACAAGATTATTAACATTTAAAAAGTTACTTGAAGCTCTTAAATATATAATTTAGAAATATTTTAACAAATTCATCAAAAACTGTGTTCAAAGAATCAATGGATTCTTTATCACATATTCATTGTATTTCAATACAAATTTATTTTTAGTTATAATTTATTTTCGTCAGTAATAAATATATGTTTATATTTATAAAAATGACTAATTAATGCTTTAAATAAGATTAACTAAATAACTAATTCTTAATACTTAAATAAAAAGTACTAATTAAATACAATATCTCAATATAACAGTGTCTGTAATACATTGGATCAATTGGTGAGGGGAACCAAAACCTGAACATAACTGACTGGAAATAAACCGCTTTTCCCGTAAAGAATACCTTCAAACCAATTGCTATCGACTTTGGACTTCAATTCAATCACATCTCCCTCTTTGAATGAGAGCTCATCCGGACTCTGGGCCTCGAAGTCATACATTGCGCGACACTTTGG